ACCTGGCACTCTGAAGATGCTTACCATGCTGTTGGCATCCCAATGTATAAAGCACTACGTTACTCTCCTGATACACGGCTGTTGCTGTTGTTAAGTACCGTCATCTCTGTCCCAACTATAACAATCTTATGTAGCATTTCCAAGGAGCGGCTGGTGGGTTTGAACTGCTGATCTTGCAATTGAAACTGACCATGTGGTCCAGTACATAGGTACATTTTAGATCAGAAGACTACTCTAAGGGATAAAGGTGCATGTAGACAGGTAAGTAGGCCTTAATCAACAGGGCTATCGTCCTACAAAACATCTTCCCATGAAATTGTAACGGTTAGGTGGGCAATACAGGAGAAAGCCACTTTCCCAAGTCACTTTCCCAAGTCAACTGGCCTCATCGGCTCCTGAGCCATTCTCACATCTTTCCATTTTATGGGCCAACACCTCCCCCATCTTGCTGCATTAAGCACTGGGCACTATCATTGGGAGTCCTGGTGTGGCACTGTGGCTTAATGCGCCAGACTGCAAAGCCGTTTGAAGTGCAAGGCTGGCGATTCAAGCTCACCAGCTGCTCATCAGAAACCCTATCCAGGGTCGCTATGGATCGGAATCGACTCGATGCCACGTCACAACAAACAACAACTATAATTGGGAGCGACAATGTGAGCAGTCAACAGTGAGAACTGAGATGCCAAACCCAAGGCAAGTTTGGTCTTATTGAGGAACAGTGCCCTTCCCAGGACCCACAGGTAACACTTTCCTATCTCTTCCAAACCCAAGACTTCCATAACTTCTTGCTTTCAACTCCCTAACCTGCTGTCTCCACCTTCACTCTACCTGCAGGTCATGAAGTTGTGGATGGACTTTTGTGTTACATGAAGTTTTTGTAGACCAAATGAAGTCAAGCTTTAATTTTTTTCCTTCAGTCTATAAAGGGCAACACCATGTGATATGACTGTTTCTCTATGCTTAGAGTTGACAGAGATGTACGGTTAGAGGGAAACGGTGTTTCCATCTTTATTTATTGATAAGTTTTATTAAAGTTCACCTATTACCCACAGGCCTCAGGCTCCCTCTAAAGAAACAAATATCACAATTGAAGCTGCTGATTTCCAAGGTGCCAAATTAAAATAGATGAAGAAGTGAAGAAGGGAAAAAATGAAAACGTTCCACTGAGTCATTTACTCACATGATGCCTTCTATGATATTTCACACATGAGACTGACTCCCGATATAATTAGGTCAGGACTATTAGGCAAATATTCCCAACTTATTCAGACCTCCAGAGCTGCTCTTTTGCAATTATTCAAGTAACACAGAAAACAAGCCAATTTTAATACAAATCTGTTGTTAGCATCTACACTTCCCAAGTAATTTCTTACATTCCACATCCCTAAGAGTACAGAGGCATAAGCTGAGTTGGGAGCTAAACCCCAAATTCCTGATTCTCCAGAGGACAATCCATTGGAAACTGGAGCTTGTATCCAACAGTTCTTCAAAGCCGCTACTCGACTTAGAGGGACCTCGTACTCTACAGTAGACAACTCATAGCAACCCTCAGTAAAGCAGAACAGAACACTGCCTCGTCATCACTGTTGTACTTGAGTTCATTGTTGTAGTCTCTGCGGCAATTCATCTCATTGGGGGTCTTCCTCTTTTTCACTGATCCTACTTTACCAAACATGATGCCCTCTCCTGGGGCTCGTCCTTCCTGATAATGCGTCCAAAGTACAGAAGATAAAGTCCCACCATCCTCACTACTATGGAGCATGCTGGCTGTACTTCTTGCAACACAGCTTTACTCACTCTGATAGTCCAAGGGATATTCAATATCCTTCATCAGTACCGTAAATCAGAGTTCTGGGGTGGTGCACTGGACTGTTAACCAAAAGGTCAGAAGTTCAAACCCACCAGCCACTCCTCAGAAACCCTAGACAGGGTCACTATGAGTCAGATCCTATTTGATGGCACTTAACAACTACAAATGGTAGTGTGCTTGGTTGTTTATGTGCTGTGGAGTTGGTTCCGACTCATAGCGAACCTGTACAGGGTTTCTGAGGCTGTAAATCTTTATGGGAGCAGAAAGCCTCATCTTTTTCCCATGGAATAACTGGTAGTTTCAAACTGCTCACCTTGCGGTTCGCAGCCGGATTCATAACCATTACGTTACCAGAGCTCCTTACAACTGGTAGCGTAGTACTTATGAATTGGGCTGCTAATCTCACAGTCAGTAGTTTGAAATTACCAGCTGTTCTGCAGGAAAAAGATGAGGTTTTCTGATCCCATAAAGATTTGCAGCTTCGGAAACCCTGTACAGGGTCACTATGAGTCAGAATCGACTCCATGTCACATAACCACAACAACAACTACAACAAACACTACCATGATTCAAAGGCATCAATTCTCCTTCAGTCTTCCTTATTTATTGTCAAGCATTTGCTTGCATATGAGACAATACTCACCTTAATCTTAAAAGTGGTTTTAACACGTTTAAGAGGTCAGAGGCCTTGTACAGCAATTCTGTCCAATATAAAATATCATTTGATTTCTTTACTGCTGCTTCCATAGATATTGATTGTGGATCCAAGTAAAATGAATCCTTGACAACTTCAATCTGTTCTCTGTTTACCATGATGTTGCTTAGTGGTCCAGTTGGGAGGATTTTTGGTTTCTTTATGTTGAAGTGTAATCCATACTGATGGCTGTAGTGTTTGATCTTCATTAGTAAATGCTTCAAGTCATCTTCACTTTCAGCAAACGAGATTGTGTTATCTTCGTATAACAAAAACCAAAGCAAATTCACTGCCACTGAGTAAATTTGGAACTATAGAGAGCCGGGAAGACACAGTGAACTGCTCTCTAAGGTTTACAGTGCTACAAATCTCTATAGAAACCTCACCTTTCTACTGCGAGTGACTAGTGGGTTTGAACTGCCATCCTTCAAGTTAGCAACCCAATTCTTAACCCAGCGAACCTCCATGTCTTCTTCATCTGCTTAGCCCAGTGTCTTCTAGTTGAGTCCAACTCATAGAGACCCTATGTAGTAGTGGTAGGAAACCTCTGGGCCACGGACCTGTAGAAGACCCTCAAAATCATTTGGTCTGGTCCTGCCAAGGCAACCACAGTTCCAGCCATCACACTGTTGTTGTTTAATGACTTCAAGTCATTTCCAACTCATAGCAACCCTGAATAGGGTTTCCAAAAAGAGGCTGGTGAATCTGAACTGCCAACCTTGCAATTCTAACCACCTTGCAGTCCAGTGCATTATCCTATAATGCCACACCAGGACTCTGCCATTACATTGTTGTTAAGTGCCATGGAGTCAGTTCCCACCATCACCTTGTTGTTGTCAAGTGCCATTGAGTCGATTTCGACCCATAGCGACCCTGTATAGGGTTTCCAAGGTGCAACTGGTAAGCTAGAACCACCGGCCTTGCAGTTCAAACAACTTTGCAATCTGATGCATTAGCCCATAGTGCCACACCAGGACTCCTTAACACTAGGGGTGAGTTAATTAAAGTTTGATCAAATAGATCAGGTTAATTTTAAGTTGATAATTTTATATGGCCCACAAATGTTGTTATAAACTTTGGCAGAAAAAGGTTTCCCACCCCTGCTGGGTGGGCTTTCTGAAACTGTAACCTTACAGGAGCAGACAATCTTGTCGTTGCCCCATGGAGCAGCTGGTGAGTTTGCAGCTAGCGGTCCACAGACTCACCCACATCACCATTAGAGCTCCTTCACCTGCATCTAACAGGTTGTTAGTGAGGCTCTCTCCAGTCCCGATGCCAACGTCTTCATATAATCCAGCTTCGTAGGTTATATACTCAGCATACAGGCTAAATACAACCCTGATACACACCCTTCCTGATTTTCAACCTCACATAATCCCCTTGATTGTCTTTTGGTCTACGTACAACCTCTGCATGGGCACAATTAAGTGTTCTGGAATTCTCATTCTTTGAAACGTTCTCCATAATTTGTTAGTATCCACACAGTCAAATGCTTTTACATAGTCAATAAAACACAGGTAAGCATCTTTCTGGCATTCTCTGCTTTCAACCAAAATTCATCTGATGTCAGTCATGATATACTCTTTAAGTTCAGATTGGTGACCTTAAGTATGTTGCTGTTGTTACTAAGTGCTGTTGAGTCGGTTATGACTCATAGCAACCTTGTGTAGGGTTTCTTGGTAGCAGCCAATGAGCTTGCAGTTCAAACTGACTTTGCAGTACAGCTCATTAACCTGCCTTAAGTATTCGTTGTTGTTGTTAAGTATTGCCATAGAGTTGCTTCTGACACCTAGTGACCCTATATAGGGTTTCCAAGGAGCAGCTGGTAACCTTGAACCACCGACCTTGCAGTTCAAACCAACATTGCAGCCCAGTGCATTAACCCATAGCACCACACCAGGACACCACCTGAAGTATGTGTATGTTGTTCAGTGCCACCGAGTCGGTTCCAACTCATAGCGACCTTTTACAGGGTTTTCAAGGAGCAGCTGGTGAGCTTGAACTACTGAACTTGTGGTTCAAACCAACTTTGCTGTTCAGTACATTAACCCACAGAGTCACTGCAGGACCTTAAGTATAGGAATGCCTAAACCAAAGAAAACAAAACAAAGCCATTACCACAGAGTCCATTCTGATGCCTGCTGATCCCTTGTGTTACAGAGCAAAACAACTGCATGGAGTTCTCTTAGTTAAAATCTTCATAAGAATAGATCAGCAGGCTTTTTTCCCATGGGGTTCCTAAGTGGGTTTGAACTGCCAACCTTTAAATTATTGGTTGAGTACAAACTGTGACCAAAAATATGACAAAACGGAGAGACAGAAACTCCCTCTCTGCACTTGTTTTTGGAACAGCCATAATATTCTCCATTTCACTCCAACGATTCAGACCATGGCTCTACTGCATTACAAATCGAAAATGAGCCATGGAGACTGAAGAGTATCTTTCAGAGAATTCAGAGGGGAAAGAAATAACCACTTTTCAAAAGAGGTACTTACTAGATTTCAACAGTGCTGCCAGAACTTCCACCGCTGCCCTAGGGAAACAGAAAGAAAAGTGGAAAAGTCAATGTCCAATAGTCTTTATGTCAGCCCATGGAGCCCACAGACAGCAAGCTCATTGCAGCCACCAAGCAGTGCCATTATTAACCAGGTAGCAGGCATTCTCTTGATCATCCCATTGGCCATCAAAGAGGTGTAAATGCAGAAGCAGCCTGGAGCACACTCTCCATCTTGCAAATGTGCCTCCGGGGTCCCCTCTGCTGCTGAAAATCTCTTCCTTTCCTGCTCATGTCTCCTACCTTCCACCTACCTCCTTACTCAGAGCCTGCTTTTTCTGTTGTCCACCCTAGCCAGGGTGTTTGGCAGTCTCTGGATCTGTGTACACTGGAACTTTGGGAGATCACAGGGTGGGGATAGGATTGGGGGGCCTATTCAGTGCAGTAGTGCTGCACAAGTTTCTTGAGACACTTACATCTCATGGGACACACTGCAAAACTTTGACCCATTGAACAGCAAGACTGCTTTCCTAAGGAGGAATGTCGTTGCACTGAGAGTATTGCTTTCTTCCAAAGAGAAATTTTGCAAACCATTGTTGTTGTTGTTAAGTGCCATCGAGTTGATTCCAACCCATAGCAACCCTGTATAGGGTTTCCAAGGAGCAGCTGGTGACCCTGAACCACCACCAGCAGTTCAAACAGCTTTGCAGTCTGGCGCATTAACCCACAGCGCCACACCAGGACTCCTATGAGAACCAAAATGCCTTTTAGGCCACATCTTGGTGATTCTGCAATCTGACCCTTGAACCTGAGGAGGACACACAGGGACCATCACAAAGAGAGGGGGAACTTCACGAGCATTAAGAAGACCATGGTGTTGTTCTAAGAGCAAGTTATTTGCTTTTTGAAAGAATAAATAGCTCATCATTGTGGTTGTTGTTGTGTATTTTCAAGTTGATTCTGACTCATAACCATTCTATGTTGTTGTTGTTGTTGTTATGTGCCGTGGAGCCAGTTCTGACTCATAGCGACTCTGTACAGGGTTTCTGAGGCTATAAATCTTTACAGGAGCAGAAAGCCTCATCTTTCTCCTGTGGAGCAGCTGGTAGTTTCAAACTGCTGAGCTTGCAGTTCACAGCCCAATTTGTAACCACTACGCTATTAGAGCTGCCCATACAGTTCCCTAGACTGTAATCTGTATGAGAGCTGATTGCCACATCTTTTCTCCCACAGAGTAGCTGGGGGTTTGAGCTGGTGGGTTTGAACCACTGACCTTTTGGATAGCAGTCAATGTTTCACTGTTGTGTCACTAAGTCTCCTTAGCTTATCATCCAGGCCTGCTAAACAGTGCTCTGTTAAAACCCACCGCCCTTGTGAGAATCAAGGCAACAAAGCACAAGAGGCTGGGCTACCTGTCAAAATTGATAAGCAGGGACTTCAAAAAACTTGTGGGAAAATTCCATTTTCTTTCAATTCCATTTTTCCACTAAGTTTTTGAAGTCCCCTTGTATAAACATGAACAAACCTGGAAACCCCAGTCCTAGAAAGCTCACTTCCCACCTTCCTTTCCATTTGTTTCTTTCCTGGCCTCTGCCGGGTTGATGAGAGGGTACTTCTCCTTGCAATATATTATCTACTATCAAACAAGAGAGACAGCAGTTAAAATAAATTACAATACCGCGAAAGTAGAAAATGCAGCATTTGAGATAACATTGCTTCACATTATCTACAAGGAAGTTGTGTGATAGCAAAGGCCGGGGATTCAGGCCCCAGTGAAAATCTACAGCAAGAACGACGTTCCAACTCGGCAGGAACAACACAGTCTCAAGGCAGAGGGAAGGAAGGCACAGCTAGGACCCACTGATGGACTACTTCATGTATCCCTCCCAATCATGTTGCTCTCTAAATCAACTTTCTCCTTTTTTAGCTCTACTCCTTTTTATAATCCACATCATTTCATGACAGAAGGGAATACACGGAAGGCATTGGTGGAAATCAAATGCATCGTAGAAAATCTAGAAGCGGCGGGGCTTGGGCTAGAGTAAAACGAAAATCAGTATTCTGTCTAAAAGGGAAGACTTTACTCAGAGAAGAATGACAGCCTGGAAACCGGAGAAGAAAGAGGATGTTCAATGAAAACCACCAAACTCAGTCCTAGATCACAGGCCAGGTCTGCAAGGGGTGGCACTGCATGTCTGTTTTTTGTGAACTTTTGATTTGGAAAGTTGATACACGAGATGAAGGCCATTGAATGAGGAACTCACTAGTGGTGGTGAGGGACACAGCAGTTAGGGAGGTGAGAGGTATCTGGGGCTCCAATGAAACTAATGACAGCAAAATGTGAGAGTCTTGCTACCCAAAGTCCTCTCCTCATCAACCTCAGCATTTCCTAAGAGCTGAATAGAAATGTAGAATGCTCAAACCCTATCCCTGACCTATTGAAGCAGAGTCTTTACCCGCATATTAAAGTTTAGAATCATTGGTGTAGAGAACAGCATCAGTTTGACTTGGTTACTGTAGGGATGCTAAGAGGAAGAAGCCTCAAGGTGACCCCTAGGCCTCAGCCTTCTAGGAAATACCTACTAACATGGTAACAAAGTATATATGAGTCCCCAAAGCACATTATATGACAGGAATTCTATGGTAAGTGTCTTATTAATCAAAGAGGTGAGAATGATTCCTCAGTGACCAGAAAGATTTATTTCTTTACGGGTCATAATTGGGAATTAAAATATTATCCAACTGTAGAGTACATTTTGATCAATGATGGAAGTAAGGTTTGAGAAGAAGTATCAGTTGTCTAAGGAGCTCAGAGGTGGTGCTGTAGGATAAACACTGGATTGTGAAACATCAAGGTTGGTGGTTCAAATCCATGAAATGCTCCTCAGAAACCCTATACAGGGTCACCGTTCATCAGAAACAACAATAACAAGACGTTCAGAGTCAATCCTGAGGGCAGTAAAAAGCCCTTACAGTTATCTTGATCAAGAGGGTATGGTGGCACAGACAGAAATGTGAGAGGAAGGTTTTGTGCATTATATTAACAAGATTTGATTCCAGTTTAATTACAGAGGACAAAACAATGAAAGAGACGGCATTAGCAGTGAAACGTTCAGCTCTGGGAGAGCAGAAAAGTCATTGCTTGAAGGGAAATTGAGATGTTCAAAGAAGATAATGATTTGGGTTTGGAGCACACTGAGCTTGAGATAGAGTCCTGGTGTGGCACTGTAGGATAAGCACTGGACTGGTAACCTGAAGACTGAGCACTCGGCAGGAAAAAGAAGAAGCTTTTTGCTCCCATAATGATTTCCAGTCTCAGGTACCCTATACAGAGTCACTATGAGTCAGAGCTTGGGATGATGGAGATAAAACTACATGGAACTGTTTAGAATGCTACTGGACTCATAGGATTTGGGATTAGATATAAAGTTATGGATATATGTTTAAGAATTACTGTGGTCATCATTAGCTTCTGTCAAGTTGTCTCTGAGTCTTGGCAACCCCAGGTGCTGGATGGTCCTGCACCATATTCTCAGTCATTGGTGTAACCAAGCGAATTTCTGCAACCACCATGAAGGCACTCAAGGTGCCTTCCAACCTAGGAGGCTCTCTTTCTACCACTATCTTGAACTTCTGTTGTGATCCATAGACTTTTAAATTGTTAATTCTCAAACGTAGATCACTAAGTCTTTCTGCCTAGTCTGTCTTACTCTGGAAGCACTGTTGAACACCGTCCATCATGGGTGATCCTACTGGTATTTGGATTGCAGGGTGCATAGCTTCCAGTGTCATAGCAACATGTAGGTCACTACGGTAAGACAAACTAACAAGAAGAGTGATGGTACGAACAGCTACTGTAGTTATAATAGGTGTAGCCCAATTGAGATCTGTGAGGAACTTTAATCAAGAGAAGAGTTGAGATTGGACCCGGAAAGCACCTACTCTAGAGGAAAGAAAATCCTTAAAGGAATAGAAAATAGGGGGAGGGAAAAAGGGGCTCAGGCTCAAGGGGAGGAGAGAGATTTAAAATGGAAAAGTCATTGTCTTCCAATTTCAGGTTGTGATCCAAGAGTGGATTGTAAAAGTGAACTCAGTATTGATTAGCACTTCTAATGAAATAGAATAAGCTGGAATGCAATAGCATATGTTAGAGTACCTCTCATATAGTAAAGCATTGATCGGAGACACTTTTATTTCAATGCAAACATAGGCATGTGTGCCTATTGGGCACTTGATGTAAAATGCTTTTCTTAAAAAAAAAAATCAAATTAGATAAAAGCTTATAAAGTTGTTTAGGATGCAGTGTCTGAAAAGAACAAATGTGTGGAAACAACTCATGAGCAAGCAGGAAGCATGTGATCTCCCTTATGGTGTTCAGGAGTCCGGATACTGGGAGGCTCATGGGAATATCACTAAGAGGCTCTTTATTCTGGTCTCTTCAGGAGGTGAATCTCTAAGATGCTCCACCATCCAAGCACTGCTGCCCTCCCGCTCACCCAAGGACACCAAAAAAATAAAACCTGTCAGAACCAAGGAAAGTACTTTGTCAATAATGGCCACACCTACAAAAAGCAAACATTTAAACTGCTAAAGTTTTAATGAGTAAGAAAGTATTCAACTACTTCTGCTACAAGAAATACAGCCCATTGCATTGAGTGAGTGAACCGGGGTCCTAAGTTGGTGCCTTTGGGGGAGCTAGACTGCTTCCTTCTGGAGATGGGCATCTGATACCCATGGTTCTGGTAACTCCACTGATTTCATAGGAAACAGAACTTGGGGGAAGACATTGTTTTCTTAAAGTCCAAATCCATGCCACCATACACTTTGTTTTGACTTCCTAGTGGGGTATCCAAGTAAGGATGGAAAATAAGAATTGTCAAAATGCCCTTTTCCACTCATCCTTCCCAGGGTTTCAGTCCCCCAGTGAGTTGTCTCAGCAATTTTTCCAAACTATCCTGCTCGAAGAGAAGAACAACGGCTCAAAGCAGAGTGGAATGGTATTCATAGTTTCTATGTTCACAATGATTCAGGCCATTTCT